TAACATAGCCTAAGCTTAGCTAGCCTTGTCCATCGCTGCGATCCCAGCTAGCGCTTGCCTTGAAACAGATGTCTCGCCTGCTTCCAGCAGGAAGATAAGTCTATGGGAGGAATCATCAGGCGTTCATTCCCAGAGTGCATCGACACCATGGAAGAGATACCAGCTCCCTACGTCTCATTTTGCGGGACTTGCCTTCGTTTTGGTCGCATTGGCCGTAGACATTGCAGTCATGAAGTGTTAAATGTCACTTAAGGGTTCTTTGCTTAACCGAAAACACAATTTTCGCGGGAGAAACCTTTCAGTCCAGGATATATCTACCTGTTTGGTAGGCCTTGAAGTGTATACGGATCTTGTCTCCATTCTATTTCACATTGCAACATATACAGGCAACACGTGCTCTATGACACATCGGAGTATTACGAGCTGAATTTAGAGGGCACTGTGCAGCAATTCATCGCTTCTGCTGCTTTTAGCGTGCAAAGACAATGCTAGAGGCAGAGCAACAACTGATGTTTCAACTTCATACCTAGTCATCCTTCTAATCCTTGAAACAGCAACTGCATTTGTACCGGCGAAACACTGGTGCCTTCAATGTAATCAGAATGTGAGGAGATACTGCTAACTTTGCATGACTGTACCGGAACAACGGTGATCTTCGGAGCTTACAAATGGCACTGAAAAAGGACGTAAAGCAGGTCCTTGAATTCACGCTCCACTAATTGTTTCTCTTCACCTGACAAACCAGACAAAGCACGGGCCAAACTGGCAAACCGCACGTGTTGCAAAGCTGAGGGGAGGCTTTGGCGCTGCAGTGGCGCAAAAACAAATGATGCCATGTGGGCAGAAAGTGGTGACAAGGTATTGTAGATTTCCTTGAATGGTGGCAGCGATCACAATATTTTAAATGACGTCCTTTGGCTTGCAGAAAATATGCTAGAATTCAAGCCAAGTGCAACCCAGTCGCAGCAGGAAAGCATTAGTCGCTGTGGCTCCGGTATTTGGAGGGCGCAGGAGTTGTGCTTGTATGGGGTGTGTCGTATGAAATGTCGAGGCGGGACATGCGTGAACGCAGTGAACGCTTGAATTGGGGCTGCGTGAGGCATCGCGTACTGCGCGATCTGTAGTGTTATGTGGCGGACCACTATGACGCTTCGGCTAAACTCTGGATAGCACAGTATTTTGCCGAGCTGTCAAAGCTTCTAGTGATAACGTGGCAAACGGGGTGCTCCAAGTAATATCCAACGATAGAAGGGACGGTAATGACGAGAATGTTCTGCGACTTCCGTGCCAGAAGCTCCGCTGACGGAGGCGTGGGTCATGACGGGTGGAACTAGAAACATTGAGAGTGTTGCACGCACAGAACACTCTCTGGAGCGGCGCGCAATTTAGTGGCAGTGGAGCAGTGTGAATCGCTGGTGGCTGCCCTGTTTGGAACGCACAGGACATGTGTTGCGTGCATAGGAAGTGTCATATGAAGGGTCGAGCCGCTATGTACGACTAAGCACTGTATGGAGTGGAACAAGGGAACTGCAAGAATAATTTTGCGGAGTTGGCAGAGGAGCTAGTGGTGAGTGACAACGTTTTGCGTTGTGCTTGTTGGGAGCTGCGTTGATGGAGGTGTTGTCATGGCGAGCGGAACGAGAAACATGAAGATTCGTGCATGAACAGAAGATTCACTCAAGCGGCGCGTTTAGTGGGAGTGGAGCAGTGTGAATCGCTGATGGCTGCACTGTTTGCAACGCACAGGGCGTGTGTTGGGAATATGGGGTGTGTCATATGAAGGTCGACCCGCGACATACGAATGTGGAGTGTGTGACGCAGCAGAGGGTGCTTCGGAAATGACTTCGCCGCGTTGGCAGATGAGCTCGTGGTGAGAGACAATGTGTTGCGTTGTGCGTGTTGAAGCTGCGCTGATGGAGGTATTGTCATGGCGAGTGGAACTGGAGACATCGAGAGAGGCGCACGAATAGAACATGCTATCTCGAGCGGCACGGAGTTTAGCGGTTGTGGGGCAGTGTGAATCGCTGATGGCTGCCCTTTTTGGAACGCGCAGAAAGTGCGTTTTGTGGCTAGGATGTGTACAATGAAGGGTCGAGCTGCGACGAACGAGTTAGCAGTGTGTGACGTGGCAGAGGAAACTGCAAAAACGATTTTGCCACGTTGGCAGAGGAGCTCATGGTGAGGGACAATATTTTGCGTTGTGCGTGTTGTATGATGCTCTGATGTAGGTGTTCTCATGGCGAGCGGAACTGGAGATATGGAAAGGGTTGCATGAACAGAACATTACCGTTGTCAGAGTGGAGCAGCATCAAGGTCACAATCTTTGTGGCTTCACTGTTTGGAACGTGCAGAAAGTGCGGTGATGTGTTATGTGGAGGCTCGAGTCGCGACGTACGAGTGACATTCCAGACGCCACTGCCAGTATGATATTTCCGCGTGGATACGGGGGCAAGTGGTGAGAGACAATGTGTTGCGTTGTGCTTGTAGGAAGCTGCGTTGATGGAGGTGTTCGGGGGGGAGACAGATCTTGCAGTCGGATGGAGAGCTTTCGTCGGAACCCCCCCGAGTCTTGCCGAGTTAGTGACCTTCAGCATTCTTGACCTGCGGCGAGCTTCAGGTCACTGGATCACCACCAAGCTATGTGGCCTAACCAGTACGCTTGCTCGCTTTGCAAAAGCCTCCACCACACTAAGCTGGGCGGCGATACAGGCGGCGATGCAGTTCACCGTCCTCACAACAGCTTAGACCTCACAAGCTACAAGTCAAAGGACTCTCTTGTCGCTCAAGCCATAAAGTACTCATTTGGTGCTGAACCTACTTGCTGCACTATTTGGCGTCTTCTTCTTCCCATTAGTTCACAGCGCTCGACAGTTGACTATTACACTTTCCTGCTAAGGTCGTCACAACAGCGGCAGAACGCCTACTTCCAACCTCCTCCACTCGTTTGTTTGCTCCTTCCGTATCGCAGCTCTCACAAACTGGACCAACTGGATAATGAACTGAAAGGCAGCACTTGAAAACGTTCCTCGCCTACTTCTCCCGCAAACAAACCTCCTTCTTTTGTACTGTGGTAGGTACCTATAGTGCTAATATTTTCTCTACTCATGTAGCATACCTTGTTCTTTCTGCAGGCCACCAGTTAAAGAACAAACTTCCCGCAGCCCTGTGAGGGCCGTCAAAAATTGGAACTTCACAGAACTGAGCCTCAACTTGACAATGACTACGGGGTAGCTCTAGAATATCCCGACTCCCGGTCAGTTTTACAAAGGATACCCCATCATACTTTGAACTCAAAGCCCGATGAACTCCGCAATTCGACCGTCGGCAACTCGGAGGCGACGAAGGTGTACTCGTTGTGCACAAGCTTCAAGGGCAGCATCCAAACAAAGAGTCTGCATGAGGACAAAAGCCCTCGTTTATCCATGAACGTTCTCAAAATGCCATATGGTGGCGAAGTGAGACTTCCCCGCCTTCAAAAATCACGCACGACTCCGGCTTTGCACTGTCTAACGTCAGCCATCTTCGGAAATGCAAGACCCTCATTCTACGTATTTGCCTGCGCATAACCATACAATGCGCCACCTGCAAAAACTGTCAAATCAAACGTTGGAGCCCAAACTCTCTTCAAAAGCCATTGCGCATCACCAATGCACAGGGCGTATTTCCCTCTTTCATTAGTTATATAATCAGTTGCTGTCAGCCACATACTACTACCGTACGTCCTTAGCCCAGAACTACTCACATCCGGTTGCTTCAAAGAGGAGCAATTCCAGAGCTTGGCGCCGAGTTAGTGAACAGCGGGATGCTTTGTCTCCTTCTCCAGATGCTTAAGGAGTAATGGGGCGACAATGAAAACAAAAAGCACAAACCCGACAAATGATGAGGCAAGAAAATCCCTTGTGGCCCGAGTCACCGGGAGGACGGAAGGGGGCTCCTGCTGCACATACACTCCCATCTCCTCTTGTGAGACTGTCACCGCAAGGCTGCCCACTGGTGCTCCCAACGCCGCAGGAAGCAAGGTCCAGTGGCAGCAAACAAACACAGACAAGATCAAAATGCGCATTGCTGCAGTGATACTGTCCTTGAATGGCGCGGCGTCTATTCCATCACGAAGCAATCAGCGTTGCTACATTGAACGGCCACGAAATGCTGCACTGCACAAGCTTCAGCATTAACGTGAAAACATACAGCGCAAGATTGCCTACTTCAGTGGAAACTCAGCAGAGCAACTGCGGCATACTCTTCTCAAACGATCCAGTGACCTGAAGCAGGCTAATCAACTCTGTTGTGTTTGGGGCTGGGCCCAGAGATTCATCTAAAACATGTACTGGCTGGACACTATTTAACATAACCAAGTAGTACTGGCATTATTGTGGCATTTACACTATATGACAAGTGGAAGCATCATTTCCAGCGGCCACATTGGCTTCCCGGAAGTGGTGGCTTTGGTGGGGAAGTGAGGTTGAGGTATGGTAGGTGTACGAACTGATTGCCATGATAAAGCGGATGAGTGCTGCGTTCTTGGCTTATTAACCTAGTTTCCGTTTTCTCCACGCATTGCATCGAATGCAGCTCCCAACTTTCCATTGAGTCGAGTCCAACGCTGTTCGGTTTTTCCGCGGAGTGCACTTGTACTGTCCTGCACAGAAGCACAGGAAGAATTCGCCATGGAGGGACGGTTACTGTTTTGTAAGTGTGCAGTTCATCATGAAACTATATCCAGAAAGCGCAAGAAACACTGGGGAGCCGTCAGCGAAGTGGCGAACTTCGCCACATTGTCTGACATCTACGGCCGAGTGAGCTTCGAAAATTGTTGAGCCTCTCAGCAGTATAAACAACACGTAGGCTGACTAATCATCACTGTTGCTGGAGTGAAAGGTCACGCATCTACCGAAGTAGCGGTCTCACGAATCTTTTCGCCATGTTTGGGCGGGCATTGCAGGCATTCACAAGGGTAAGTGCATTCAGTTTTCAATGTTCCCCTGTACAGGCCGCCCCGCCCACTTTGTTGTATCTGGTGAAGATGCCATGGCGAGTGGCGACGAACTATGGTCTGTGTTGCCGTGGATGGCTTCGTCAGAATTCCTGCCATCAGCGATGACGACATGCCTTGCTCGTGAATAGGTTATATCTCATGAACAAGCATTTTTAAAGAACAGTGCTGGACTGCATGCAGCATAGCGTTTTATACAGCTTGTCATGAGCCTGAATGAGAGCTAGTTCTTCTTGAAGCCGGCCTATCGAGACGGGGTCTACCTTGCGCGTAGTGTAAAGCGTCTTCCTTGTGCTGCATTGCGCCATTTGCAGCCAGAAGTGTTGCCAAAAGAACAGTTGCACAGGGCTTTGTAAGTATAACATGTGAAGCATTCGCTGCATGCGATGGCTGTGCACTGACCACACGTAGGCAGTCTTAAGGCTTCGTGAACAATGGTTTATTTAGGCCAGTGGAGGCGACCAATTCTTCGTGCATATAGGGCGAAGCTTCAGCGCACATTCGAATTTGATCTGGCGGGACCTTATTCTCCAGAGGAGGGAATCATTGAGGCCACAGTCGCCTTGAGCTTCCCGAAATGAAACATATCTGCGTGAGATCCAAGCAGCGGCGCCCACACTGGCGACTTCCTTGTGCAGTTGCCAGGCTGCACCTTTAGCCGATGAAATGACTGTTGCAGCTGGACACCATATGCTGCATATTTTCATTAAGGTGCTTCATTTCAAACGCTGGGCCAAGAGGTGTTGCCTCAGAAGGGCTTACAGGAATCCCCTTTCATATACCGCCGCCGATATCGACTTCGCCCCACATTGACACAGCTTGAGGCAAACTTCGTAAAAGCTTAAAACTGCATAGTCGCCTGAAGGAGGGAAGAACAATCCTCGTTCACAGTGCATCACTTCGCAGAGGCAGTTTCACTTTGCAGAGGAAGTTTCGCAGCAACTTGCTCACTATGGCAGAGAGCTCCCGTCTGTAGGCATCATTGGGTAAAGTGGACAATCTGACATACAGTGGAAGAACACAGCGATGCAGCCCTTTCGGGAACCTTCATATGGCTTGCAAAGTTAAAGCCGTTCCTCGGTGTGCTGGAGGAGAGTGACGCTCAAGCAGCAGCCCAACGCTGAGACGAAGAGTGAGACGAAGATAGCCATACGGTTGGTTTTACCAAGACAGACGCTGTGACAATTCATTGTTAAACCGTACATGTGCATGCCTCTCGGCAGAAGTGTAGGCGTTCAAGCAAATTGGTTCAGCGAACCTATTGCACGCTGAACCTTCATGGCCGAAGGAGCGCAACTCCGCACAGGCTGGGACAAACCTAGTCTGCTGGGCCACTGGATGGAAGAAACCACAAGTGAACTGAATTTTTGCACTTAATTCCTGCCCGAGGGACAACTTCATCCCCAACTCTCTACGTACGAGCCTCCACAGCATCGGGTTCAAGTGACCTGTGCAGCTCTGGCAAATTCTTCCGGCGGTGTCCCTTGCTGAGTGTTGCATGCCTATTTATGAAAAGCATTTGAAAGAGAAAGGATAAAGTGTTGAGGGGCATTTCATGGGGAGAAGACGGCATTTGTCCCGGCCAGCTTGAAGCTATGTTTAGTCAAATGATTAGACGCTGGACGCTCGCTGTCACGTGGCTCGCATTTTGGGCCACTTCTCCAGTTTCCTCTTCGCTTGAGAAAATACCTGACCAAACAGGAGAGATCAATGGGCATCAGAACTCGACAGAAACAACAGCGGCAGAACTGTTGAACGAATTTGCAGGAGAGGAAGACGTCGCCTCAATAATGGCAGATTATGGCAGTTTGACCGTACCCAGCGTGCTTATCAGTAGAGAACGCGAAGACTGTCATCATGTGAGCGGAGCCAGCGCAGAAGTTTCAGCTGGTGTAGGGACGTTCTTGCATCCTCCTGAAGAAACAAGTACGACTCCTGTAGTTATTGTTGATGAAACAGGCCGATCATTCGGCCCTTGCCCAAAATCCGTCCTCCGGAAAAAGGCGTATTACGGCAGCAAAGCAGCTGTTGCGGACATGCATGGGGCGCAGTCCATCTCTCTGGGAAGCGTCAAACAAACAGTGGACCTCACACGACTAGGCCTTGATCGACAGTTTAACGAAAAGGCATATGAGTCACTGAAAGTCTGTAATAACCTTTTCTTCTCGGGAGGCGAAGGCATGCGCAATTTTTCCGATCCTGCTTGCGTTGTCGCCCACCTGGATGAAGCATCCCTAAGCATTAGGACCCTCGATACAGCAAGTCTCCGAAAGCTCCACCCCAGGCTAAAAGCCGCACTTGTTCTCGCATCAAACCTCACCTTGAGGAGACAAAAAAAAGAATGGATCCGTAAGCTTACTTCCTCAAATACCTTGCATTTGGCTTGGCACGTCGTCGAAACTTTCTCAGCAATGAACGTGAGCATGCTGGAGTCTAATGTTGGAGAGGCTCTAAATAGCATTGTCATGAAGGATCTACGTCTTCTTCAGCCCTTGAAGGATCTTATTCAATTCGGTTTGTCCCCCACTTTACACATATCCTAAAGCCAATCTTAGGCATGAGCCCGAAATCAGCTGAGCAGTGGTTGCGTTTTCTGTAGGTGAAGAATGCTGAATAGCCAACTTCAACATCCAAACAAGCGTGAGCGAGCAGTACTGTTTCACAATGTCCTTCTGATGACACTGCAGCTACTACGTGCACTACGTATGAAGAATATCCCGAAAAATCTTGGCAGGACACGGTGCGTTTCCCCAGCCCCGACAGCCCACAGTACAAGACGTATCCTATATACGATTACTTGCGAGCAGTGGGAGCTGATGTGTCATTTCCTCGAATCATCCCAGCAGACTGGCAGCCTCGGGTGTACGATGGAAATCGAATGGCTCGACGTGCCATCGGTGAACGCGACAGCTCCAATTTTTCAGGAGACTGGAAGAAGCGAGTGTACAACTCTTGGCACAATCTTTGGGTTCTTCATCTGGTAGTACATGACGCTGGGTCAATGTGGCAATGGAGCCAACATCTCAACGCAAGTACTTTCTTCTTCAAGCCGTGGAAAGTCACTCGTGTGGCTGCCCTGAAAGTAGCGGAAGCAGGTGACTCATACAGAGTCAAAACCTCCAGAGAGCGTATCAGATCTTTGCCTGATTGCGAAAGGCATAACATGCAAAATAGCTCCACAGAGAAGCACATGCTTGATGTCATTGTCTAAAACCTTGTTAAGAGGTGCATTAATCACTCTGCTTGCAGGACCCCTGAGGTACGACGACCTTTCAGCAAGGTTCCGTGTAGATCCAAGCATTCAGGACAAGAACAATGAATATGCATCATGTCCACAGCATCTGGTTGACACGGGCTTCTTTGACAAGGTTAAAGCCCCAAGAGGGCGCCTGACAGCACAGTGGGGTCGGATGGACCTGTGGAAAGCCATCGGGTTACTAGGCTGGAACTGCCCAGTGAGCGAAGTCGATGTACCTTGCCCCCCCCAAATCTACCCAGATAAGTGCGGGGTTGATGCAACATATATCAGACCTGTAGAAGCGCCATGGCTTTTTCGACTGGAAAGGGAATCAACATGGATTACATGGGAAACGGATGAGACACAGAACGACTACGTGGACAGAATCTGGGCTGCCAGGGGCACCACTTTTCCCAAGGTGTGTTGGTCCACTTCCGGGCTTACTATGTGAGCGACTGTTCAAAATGTTTGATAAAATGCCCTAGTAACAGCGGAAAGAACTAACGCTGCTCCTGGGATCCGCAGTAGACACTGCTTTTATTTGCTACTTTTAGAAATATAAACTCTAGCGTTTGCAGTGAATCCTTGTGGCCAGCAATGCTTCTGCGAACTCGATGGTGCAGCTTTGGCTTCTAAATACCATGTGGGATACTACTTCGGATCCAGAATTGTCGCCTTCTGGGGAAGGAAAAATTCATTCTGGCTTTTTGTTTGCGTTTCGACGCATTTTTAAGGAAATGCTTAATGATGACATTCGTGAAGTGTCAGAAAAAATTCATGCGACGGGGAAGCGGCAGGTCGTGCTTTTTACTGGCCATTCTCTTGGGGGGGCGGTGTCGCAAATTGGTGCTTGGTACTACGCCGTGAAGTCTCGCAGCCTAATTCGTCAGGGCCTCCTACAGATCAGATGTGTCACATTCGGTGCACCTGCAGTAAGAACAAAAGAAGAATGAAAATAACCATGTTGGTTAGCCTTGCAACGCAGAGCAGCGCGGCATCTAAATAAACGAGCTAAAACTCTGTTTTTCTGGGCCATGGTTGTCCTGACTGGGTTTTGTGTTGCGAGCAGTGGGGAAATGAAGCTGCCTATAACGAATTTATGTCTACTGGAGTTATCATACACGACATCGCAACGAGCATGGATCCTGTTACCACATTAAACGGCGAACCAGAACTCGGCCACGGACTTCAATGGAAAAAACCGTTTCATTACAGAGTAAGCTGGAGAGTTCTGCATCTAGCACGTGTTTTTTCTAGCGGGAATTCGTTATTCCTACATTGAGAAGCTACGCTAGCAAACCTGAGCATACAAACGTAAAGGTGATTACGTTGTTTCTGAGGTTTCTGAAAGCCCTAATTATAGCACTTGAAAGCAGTTGCATGCCTTTTAGGCCCTTTCCCTGATTGTGGAGTTAGATACAAATCGTACCTCTCTAGCTGGGATTTAAGTTCATTCTGCACATCCGTATTTTTTGACCCTCCTGCCAGATCATGTTGGACGACCTAAAACAAGTTGTTGTTGCGTCGACGAGTCCCCTAGAGCCTGACTTTGATGGCCGGCTGTGGACACGCACGGACCTGCATGCTGGGAGTTTCCTTAAACGCACATTTGGGGCGTTCGCTAGCATGAAGAACGTAGACTCGGTCTTCCTGAATCCAGTGCTCACTCACTTTCTGTCGTATACCGCAGTCCTCACGATCATGGCAGACTTGGTACCCGAGGCCGACTTTGGTTCGGGACTTGCTGCCCCTCTAATAAACGATCCGCCCATCAGTTACTCAGCTCACTCGTTGTGCTCTGCATTAATAGCAGCTCAAGGGAAGATGAGGTGGGTGATGACCCAACTAGCACTTGAAGCTAGCAGGGAGCCCAAGGTCATCTAGACTTGCTTATTGGAATTGCAATAGGGCCTGCTCCAGAAAGCCACCTGCACTCAATAGTCCTCTACAATGCATTGTTCGCACGCACACCAGGTGATTTATGCCCTCAAATGGCAAAAAAGCCTTCTTTTTCCTTTTGAAAGAGGCCGTGGAGGGCTTACGGTTTCTAGACAGTCACTGGTTCGGCACACACTGCACCTTTATTTCCTCACCGTTGCTATTCTCACAACTAAAATCATTGGGCAAAGATCTCTTTAGGCATGTGACTGATTGCAAGACATTTCGTGGCATCATGTTTACGGAAGTGCGCAGTCATACAAGTTGCCTTCTTGAACCTGGTGGAGCGAAGCTGCGCGTGGTCATTGCTTGTGTAGGCTCTCCTGCTTTGATAGCTCTAGTATAGCTGCTGAACAGAATATACAGTATGTGGACTTCACAGAACGAAGCTGCTTCCTGGCTTACTGTGGCTTACTGTTGGTGTTTTCTGCCTTCCTCAATAGCAGCTTCGCATGTTGCAGCACAGGGCAAACCCAGATGCAGTTAGTGCAGGTCACTTCCACATTAGGATGCAGTACTGTAGTCTTGAAAACAAGCAGCTTAGACAAACACTTTATTCTTGTTGCCCTGTTCTGGACATGATATGACTGTCATATTACTGACCTTTCTGAAGGCTACTGGCGTACTCTTCCACATATGGAATTAAAATTGAGCGCACGCGGCATTGAAGGCCCTAGTCATAAAATTCTCACACTCAAGACATGTCCTTAAGACCTACGAAGAATTTTTCCCGGAATAAAGCGCTGAGTGATTGTTTTCGCTCAGCAGTGCTCAAACTGGTGAGCAAAGGGAGTCATTTAGCCCGCGGGTTTTGTACGTCACATCAAACACTGCTGCTCCCCTAAAGTGAAACTGAGCAGCTTAACTGAACAACCCAAGCAACACACTGCGCAATGCATATTAGCAAGACACACGAAAGGTAGTGGTTTGGTACGCCGAGTGCACCCTCATACACAGTCCTTGTTGGACGTGTATGCTTCACCGGGTGCAGCAAACTCGTTTCATCTTAATTCCTCATTCAACCAAACAATTTACCTTAATTTGAATTTGTTCGAAGTCGATATGTTTGCTGAACAGCAGCTGCCTTATACTTGGCGCCCGCAGAACACTGTCTGGTGATCCGGCGTAGGCCTGCTCATGCGGTTTGGGAAAACATAGAAAACAATACACCGTGTACATTGATTTAGTCATTCCTCTTTTGTAACATAAATATGTCGCTATTGCTATCAGGGGCTTGACTGAAGAAGGACAACAGTCTTCTCCAGCCATCGGCAGGCGCTGATGTGCTCACCTGCGTATCCTTCGAGCTCATATCGTGAAGACGCAAGAACAGTTTAGCCTCAGTTCACGTCTAGAAGCAAGAGGAAATCCATGTTATACGCCAGGAGGCTTTTTTGTAGACTGAGGCGACGTGACGGGGACGAGGGCATGCAGGCGCACACCCTGCTTGCAGAAGCACTGAACGAAAGGCTGTCTGTTGAACTTGTAGTACGTCGGCTTCAAGCCGGCGGGTAGGACGACTAGAAGATGGCTCTGAGAGCGCGACAGGAGCAGCAGCTCCATCTCGCCATTGCTCTCTATCTCGAGTCGAAATTTCCAGAGGCTTACAGAGTGTTTGAAAGGGAAGCACATGTAGATGTAAGCATTTCTACTCTTCACATTTTGTAATCCGCAGAGTATGCTAGGGTTGTGTGCGCCGTTTGTGCGTGGTTCCCTGCCGTCTTGTGTGGTCTATGACTGGAATCTAGCATGCCTGCTGCACCTGTCTACCCCTGAATTATGTGGTTGAGTTGATTGTTGCAGTGTCTGCTTGTGAACAGTTTTCTGCCGCGACAGCGTTAACTCACGGGAGTGAGAAGTTTGACAGTGAAACATTACCAAAGCGATGGGGTGCTACAGCCCGCCTTCAGGCTCGTGTGACAGTGCTTCAAAATCAGCTCCAGCAGCAGGGACAACAACTGAAGCTGTTCACATCCGCAGCATGCAATGCAGGGAACAAGAAAGCAGCAGGGCTTCCAGGCTCGAAGCCATCTTACGTGATATCTGCTCAGAGGCAACCCGTGACATGCTGTGTTTTCCACCCTCTTTTACCCCAGCTCTTGATCGGAGCAGACGATGGCAACGTTCGTGTGAGAATCGGCTTTCACGCAACTCTTGAGGCAGTGCAAGCACATTAGCTTTTTGTTGAGGGGCATAAGCATTTCCTACGTCGCCTGACTGCCATTTCTGGTTGCCGCGCAGGTCATATCAGTGGAAGGAAGCGGCACTGGTACGATCACGCGGACTTTTAGGGCACACCATGCATCAGTTACGGGTTTAGCATTTGATCCTTCAGGCCGCTGGTGAGGTACCCTCTAGTCCACACTGTGCGTGAATCTAAATAAGCTTCCGTACCAGTTTAACGGCAACTTTGAGCAATATGCGTATTTTGCAAGGCGTTCCTTTGAAACTACTGTAACTCTGTGAATCCGCGTTGGGGGGCTCAGTTTCGCTTGACCTATGCAGGGTCCGTTTTTTTCAGGTTAGTTACATGCTCCAGTGACATGACGCTTCGACTATTCGACGTTCAGACTTCTTATACGCTGAAGGAAACATTGAGAGGCCATGATGATTCTGTTTCGGTATGTTGACTATTTACGTCATTTGCGCCATCACTTTTTCAGCAGTGAACTCTGCCGGGGTTGAGAGCTTTAGCCAGTGCCTGCATTGGATTCTTACAATGCAGGCCATTGCATTTTTTACTTTGAGGGATAACAAAGGAAGAAATGATGTCGCTCCTATGCGCCTGCGTGGACTGAGCAACGGAGGTGCTGCAGACGGGGACCCGCATGGAAATGACTCTGGTAGCAGCACCTGCATCATTTCCTGCTCACGAGATGGCTTGCTGAAGCTATGGGATGCAGAAACGGGCCTCTGTCTTCGGACATTTACCCCCGTAGATACAGCAGGTGCCTGGGGGGTCGGTGGAACGGCAGGGAGTGGTGGATCGTGGGTCCGCTGCCTTTGCGTGCCTGAGGCAAAGCTGCGGCCTGCCCCTTTTTTCGCATCTGGTGGAAACGATCAAAGGTGATTCTGTTGGGTTTGTGACATGTTTCCCTTTCGTCAGTTACCCATGGGTGAATACACTTCAGAATTGTCCTGCTGACTAGTAGGGGTTCGGATGCCAAACAATATATTTTAACTCTGAACATTGTAGCACTTCTGTCAGCGTTGCTCCAGGTGCAATGCTTTGGCGCTTTAACGTGCCTCTTCTGCACCCCTTGACCCGTTGATGCCTTTTATAATTTCCAGGGTGGTTATTTGGAGGCCAGACTTCACATCGGCTGTTCGAGAACTTGTCGGCCACCAGCACGTCATTGAATCGGTTACCTTCGCGACAGAGGCAATGCTACGCCACATGCATGATCACAGGATGGCGCCACCACCCTTACCGTCCTCCATGCTGGTCAGAATCTCTAGCACAGTGTTAGTATAGGCAGGCCTTGGCGAGGAGACACGCATCATAGAGCATAATTTACATGAATTATACGGTGCAGCAAAGCTGTATAGCAAGAACTGACTCTGTCGTACGCCTCTTCTTTTTCAGGACACAAAGGCACTGTTGGAGGCAGAAGGAGAGGGAAAGACAACTCACGCTCTGCGGATAGCGGGCTTGGTACTTATTTCCGCTAGCCGCGATAAAACCATTAAAATGTGGGATGTCATCGGAGGCAGTTGCATTCAGACGCTCGTAAGTTGCATTGAGGAAACCTTGCCGCACGTTTCATATGTATGCCTGTGGTATGCAATCAGTCTTTTTATGCGATCAGTCTTTTCATTTTTCCCGTTTCATTTTGCTTGCTGCGGCATTTTCCATTACTCCGAAGGTAGGTCACGATAACTGGGTCCGGCAGGTTGTCGTACATCCTACTGGGGAGCACATCATTTCTTGCAGTGACGACAGAAGCATAAGGACTTGGAACGTTCTAACAGGTGAAATGCCAGGCTTGCTGTTCAGCGTGTCTAATTTTTCACCTAGCCAGCCATGTTTTACCGAAGAAAATAAACGATATCCAACGACTGTTGACGTAATTTTGTCCTTGCAGCGTACATTTTCGGGTCATGTTTCCTGACTACGCAGGCGACTGCGAGCGCACGATTGAAGGCGCACACTCGCAGTTTGTGACATGCCTCGATTACGACTTGAAAACTGATATCTTGGCCAGTGGTAAGATGTGTATCCTCTTTCACTTCGTCCGTGTTGCTGAGCACAATTTTTCGTTCCAGTGGCATCGTAGAATGGGCTCCAAGTAGTGTCGATGAAGCTGTGCTGCGTGTAACCCTGGCAACAGACTGACGTGTAAAAAGCAGCTTGAGTAGAAGTCAAAGGCAAATGCACAGCTTGATAGAACCTCCCCTGTGAACAAGTTATTGTGTTTCATGTTGCTTCGCTTCTCTGCAGCTTCTCTTGATGCAACTGTCAAGCTTTGGCCTTGCCGGGTAGATGACGCAAAGGATCCTCCTGCAGGGGACGAATCAACGTCCCATTCCTAGCTCACCTCCAGAAAGTATCCAACCTTGTTTCTGCGGGCTTCTGCCGAAGTAGTATTGTCAGCCCTTGCTTCTTCGGTGTTATATTTGGCTACAGACTGAATTTCGTGTTTTACTAGTGTTGTGCTTTACTGAGAATAGCGTAGCGGCGCCAGTCCCGAAGTTGAAACTGCCGACAGTGCCAGCATGCTGGGAGGCGCTGCGTGCCCAAGGTGGTTGAACGCGTGCCACGAATGCTGCATTCCAGTAACATCTAGACCTATTTTCCGTGGCTTCCTGCGTCGAAGCTTGCGCTCAAGCGCGTAGCACGGCTTGGAACGGCTTGGAACGTTGCCTTAAGTCTTAATGGTCACTTTGAAGGCCTGGCGCTACTGCCACAGACAGCCTTGATAACGGTTGCAGCGATGGAAGCCGGC